TGATTTTATTTACTTCCTCAACCTTATCTACTTGGTTGTATTGTCCAGGCACGTAACGTACTTAAACTTACAACTATCACTTATTACCCACGATACGTCTAATGCCGCAACAAACTGGTTGACATTCGCCACCCAGTTATATCTGTTTGTGGATGGCCAGCGATTGATATATCCAAACTATAGTTGAGCACATAAAACAATGTATTTCTAAACTTTGCTGATAAGCGTGTATCTCTATCCGATAAACCCATGTTGGCGGAACGCTTTGTCGATAAACAGCTTAGCTTTGTCCCCATCGATGACAGTGTCACTGACAGCAGCGAGGTGAACCATATGCTCAGATGGTCTCCAAAGATCATAATATGAGTATTCCCGGATGTATAGCTTATACGACCAGAGAATGTGTATTTTGATGGACAGCCAGTAATTTATCTGGCGCTGCATACATATAGTATTGAACGCTGACATAATTCTAGGTGTGCACATATGTCCTTATTTGCTAATTCTTGTTACATAGCACCCACCGACAATATGTTCTTTTATCTACGAGTTAGACACCCAAAGGCATGTCACCTTCCTCGACCTTATTCGTTAGTTGTAGGCCTCATCATGAGGCACCACTACTGGCTGAGTGTGATGCAGTTTACTGCTGTGGTATAGCAAGTCTTGAGATAATGGTTATGGGTACGGGTGAGCAACCGTGCGCTTATTGCGTTCTCTCATTCTTTGCAGCTCAGAGCTATCAACAGTGCAACACAGGTTGCGTTGAGCCATACGCCAAACGTATTTTTTACAGCTGGCGACGTCACAATCATGATATTTGAGAATCCATTGTTGGGGCGACGCGAAAGCACATCCGCCTTCACATGAAGACGAGCCAGATTATGCTTTACCGCAAAGATATAACAGCCAACAAAGATAAATTATTTTGTCATTCTCTCCAGGCGATGCGGTGACGACGTCTGTGTACACAATGGCACATGATCTGTATAGATCACAAATGGCTTAGAACCAAACATGTGCGTTCTGAACGTGACAAGGGCATTATTTATTACAAGTTGCTTCTTCGACGTATAGAATTTTTTTCTTGAGACACAACACGATGGCGCGATCATGCTTATTGGCATCTGCTTGAAGCAAAGCACAGCCTATTGCAAATGCAGAAGCTTTCAGACGACGTGATATTGCCAATGTAAATTCGTAAGAGACAGAAACAAGGCACGCACGAAGCTTCTGAGGCCAACTTAGAAGTGGCCTCTTCCGTCGCACCTCGACACCATTTCGTGACCCTTTCAGTGATATTAGCGAGAGTTAGTGCCATGTCGGCATAGCCTGTACTGTACTTGTGCAAGTAATTGGTCAGACCAAGCCACTTAGTCAATTTCTTAGATAACAGAACCACTGAACAATTTACAATGATCTCTATCTTTGCGGGAGGTTCTCTTGAGCCTTGCAGCCCAACGAAGCAATCCATAATAGGATTTAAGCGATCCCAAAGACACTTTTTAATATTTGCAAATGCATTATTTAAGCGCATACATTTGAGTTCCACTCAGTTGTCCAGTGTGGTTTTACACAATCAAAGTTTCCGGCGCAATAGACATACCCTCGGAGGCTTGTGAATCCATGGTAGCACGATAGGGGAAGGACTCTCGATGCGGTGATGTTTGAAGGAAGGAATCCCAAGCGTAGCGGGGCTCCTTGAGCAATCATATTGTGCAATGTCTTAAAGAGGCAGAATAAGTGCTAGCGCTAGTATAGTCACAGATTTCAGTAGAGAAGGGTATGACGGGGTGCATATTCCAAATTGGTCTACGTCCACATTACACCATCCGGAAGAACCAAAGTGCTTGTTGATGCTGTCCGTAAAGGGTAGGTCTGTCCAACACGTACAGTACAAGCCTCACGCTACGCATTTTGGTTTATGGCTAGCAAGCACAGATGCTTCACATTTATATTATTCGTCTTAATACCAGATCTAGGTATCCAGTTACTTGCGACGCTCACGATTCGGCTCATCAGGAAAGCATTCAATCACATTTGCTGTGCATTTGTGAGTGCGAATATGTTGAGTCGAAGCTTAGTCTCGACAAGAACTACAGCAGCCCCGTTGCAATAAACTTGTCATGCTGTCGAGTACGAGTAAGAGTAGCAAAATCAATCACTTATCAGACCACAACTTTCGCGGTGACGAAAAGCTGAGCGTTCTGATTACGGGTTGGTAGAATGTTAAGTTGATCAGTCTAGGCCAGCCTGCATCCTTTCAGAACATATATTTGGTGCCACATCGATGATCGCAATTCATTGCAATCATCCCAGTGCTTACCGTTTCTGTTATCCGTTTATAATATTCAGAAATCCACGCGAGAAGCGATTGATGTGGCAATCCAGCGGCAGAGTATGCGTGCAGAATGAATTCTGCAACGCAATGCTGAGTGACACGGTCAATGTAGCGGTTAATTTTTCAGTTACCTGGTGGCGCTACTTATACCTTGTTACATGTCACCCCGCTACAACATGATCCCGACACTTTAGTCGATACACTCCAAACTGTCCTTACATATATCAAAAGAGTGTTGGAGGTTCGACGAGGTCCCACAAGATGATGTGACCGTACAAAGTTGTGGATTACACAAGTGGTGTAAACACACATTGGTGAGGCTACACTGAAACAAGTAGCCGCTGCTATTTGTAATGCAAATAAATTAGATTCTACTATATTAATTAGGTATCGCTGTATTAAGTTGGAAAACCTAGGGTTTGGAATATGGCGGCTCTATCGCAGCTAAACTGATTCAATGCAATTTCAATTCGGGAACGGAAGAGCCTCCTTTCCTTGGTTACGGATCGCAATCCGCTGCACTCGTACTGTTTTTTTTATAAAGAACGTAAGGTCGGTGACCTTAGCTTAGCTTCATCTGAGCAAAGAGCTACTGCAGCCCCGCTGCAAATGGTGTGACCACTGGCTTTGTCGCTAACTTACTCTTTTGCCCTTACCACATTTCTTGCACGCGATTTCGCTTCGCTTGTTGCTTAAAGTAGGAGTTTTTTCGACACATATGCTTCAGTATCGCCGCAGTTCGGCACGTCCCCAACAGTCGCGGTGTCCGATCCTGCAAGCAGTTTCTCAGTGCAGCTTGGACGGGTCAAAATTCAAGCGCAGCAATGGCTTAACCCCGTAGCATCGATAATCGTAAATGTACATTTATTGGTCAACAATTGGTTAGGATATCACTCATTCTGACCCATGTATTTTATCCATCCCCGAATCATGAGATTCCTATCACTACAGGCTCAACTCAAGAGGGATATTAGAGATTCGTCATCGACGTCATTGTCGGAATCTTTGTCGCAAGAGCAATTAGAAATTGCCATTGATCAAGGTCGCCATAGTTCGTATGTCGAGCAAAGCTTTTCAGTATGTTCTTAAACTGACATTCTAAGGTTTTATTGCGAACACGAACATTGTACATTATAATGAGTCCTCCAACATATTTTGGATTGCTAAGGAGCCATAGATGCTGAGGCAAATTTGTTTAAAAGTCAGCTGGCAACAGTCCGAAGATTGTTGGTAAAAGTGGGAGTCGAATTTTACGATCAATTTCTCAAACTTGACGGGAAAAGCTGTGCCAATATACTATAACTTCTTGATGATTGCAGATATCTGAATTTCATCTCACAAGTCCGATTTCTAATTTTTGATGCGGCCACATGACGGTCATTAAAGTGCTTTTATTGTTCGTGATGGGCGCTCCGTATTGTAGGTTGTTGTACTTGAAATATTGTCGCATTTGTTATGTCGATCTCAAAGTCAGTACCAAGCAAAGGATACCAGTAGTCAGGCGGGGCATACAAACTGCGTTGTGGAGAATACCCTCCAAAGCGCTTGTGTGGGGACACCACGGGGCTAAAGCGAGTTACTCACTCGTTAACTCGTGTTTTATAACGCTGCACATGCCTCGACACGATTTACCTCACTTTACACAAATGGCTTGGACTTCATGGGTACCTTTGACACCGCCACGAAGTGGCTCTGATCTTTGTAAGGCAGGGGCTGCCAATCAGAACAGAGTTGTTGATACCATCTCGGCTAACAAAATCAGTGATTTTGCTCGATAACATTAAGCGTTATGCGCAGGGTGCACGACGCAAAAGCTGATTCAAAAAGAAGAAGAGCATGCTGATGTCAAAGGCAGGCGAAACACACACGAACATGTTTTGTTGGCAAACTTTCCGATGCAGTTAGCATATCAATATATGCAGTGTCTACGCCCGATAGACCACTTATTTATCATCGGACCGTTCGCGGTCATCGCAAAAGAAGAATTGAGTAATTCTTCAAATTAACCATGAAGAATGCAAGCAAAGCCAGTGTTCTATGTGGCCTTACTGATTTTCTCGCGATTCTGATCTGACTATCCAGCCGAACGTGAAGGGCTCTTCCGCAGACGAAGTATTGTCTTCACGATCCTCAATAGCGACCCTCTACTTAGAAGCGGGTCTGAACCGTTGGGGAAGCCTAAGGTAGGCATGCGATAAAGCATCAGAGAAATCAAATGTGAGGACTGGCTCATTGCGGCCTAAGATGCACGCCGTGTTCTTCGAGAGAGTCGATGTACAGCCATGATTAAGATAGCTCATGAGAGCCAGCCACTAGAGGGTCGACCTTCGCCGGCACTGCAGAAGAGCATTCGGCGGCCCGATGTCATGTAAAACGTTTGGTGGACCGCCCAGCACCTTGTGAAGTGAATTAAACAAAAAATTAGGAGTTTGAAGTGATACTTTGGCAACATTGCAGTGCCGTGAGCGCCAACGACCTGGTATGTCTTCGGGATTTCATTTTCTTTCTTTGAAGAAGAGGCAAGGCAGCTAGTCACTGTACACTTCCCAGAAGTGGGATATGACCGACCTGGCGGTACAAAGGTCATTGTATAGTGGCTGTTACAGCTGTCTCATGGAGACGACCGTGGATTCAAACAGCCTGAGGCGATGGGCTGTATCTTCGATAACAGCGTTGTGCTAATTTTTTGCAGTATGGAAGATGGCTTGTAACGTCTAAAGATGAGTTGGGCGGAGTGCTTTTCTTGTCTAGTGGGCATATAGAGTTATGTACTGTACAGATATTTGACAACTTAAGCACCTATGGGTTATCTCCTACGGAGGGCACGCGCTTCACCAGCTGGTCCTTTTGAGGAGCGATGATCTATAGTTTGAGAAAGCGCTTGCGATGCAGCTTTTCCACACTTCCTTTGTTCTACTGTGAGTGGATAACTCACATGCAAAGGCACGTGAACCTTCTGCACTTACAGGGTGAGCGATAGTAAACAATTTGATATCGAAATCATGAAGTGATTCGAGCAGGAGTTAGTGTGATTCTCGCGCGTGCAGTAAAGGGCCAGTTCTGTTGTAAGGAAGTAAATGTTGTCGTAAATTTCACGGCGGGGTGTCGGAAATTTTTTGCTGATGAAATAGGGCACAAAGTTCAGCGGGGAGGCTGAGTGCAGACAGCGCACCCTTCTAAAAACGACCTGACTATGTATCGGCGGGTGAGGGTTGACGTGTTTAATCGGGAGTCAAAGTGTAACCAAGTTACACGTACCCTGGTATAAAAGGGTGGGTCACACAAGATGGTGTGACCGTACAAAGGTCTAGATCGCACAAGTCGGTGTAATCACACAATGGTGTGGCTACACCGTATCAAGAAGCCACTACGTGGCGGAACTGCCAGTAGTTATGCATATTGATTAGGTTTTGCTATCTAATCAGGAGAACCTAAGATTTTAAATGTAGGCGGCTCTGCCACAAATAAAACAATTAAATTCAATTTGAACTTTGAGCAGAAAAGATTATTTGCCTTGGGTTAAGGTTTTAGTATTCTTGAAGGTAGCGGATAGCGATCAGCTACACTCGTTCTGGTTCTAGTATAGAACGTAAGGTCGGAAACCTTTGTAAGCTTCCTCTAAGCAAAGAGCTACGGCAGCCCCGTTGCACAAAGAGTGACTGGGGGCCAAAAAATCACCTCGACATCCTCAACGATATTTTTATCAAGCGTGTTGGTCACAAAGACCGCGCTTTTGGCGGAAGCTCCTTTCACCATATTATTTAATGCATGGGAGCGGAGTTTTGTTGCAAGAATGTTCAGGAGAGCAGGTGCGGTAAAGTACAGAGAGTGGATTGGAACTGTAGGTGCAATAATGCTCGTGGAGCGATCCTGCACTCGCAGTATAGAAGAATGTTTATCTCAGTGTGGTCTAAATCATATTGATGCTTCTGTTCGGAGCGGTATGCTCATAGGCTTTGGTGTAAGGAGGGCAAGTATGGTTAATCTTTGCTCTCAGCATTTAGATTGGGTACAATCGTAATAATTACGATACAATTACACTGGAATATCGATAATTACGAAGATGATACAATCCCGATAAAAGGAGAATATGTGGGTTACTTCTAGCTACATAATGAGAAATAGTTAAGGTGTAATAGCAGAGCATACTAACAGTATTTGTTTTCTTAGTAGTTCTCGGGCCCGCTCCAGACGGACCCATCCTCTTTGTGTTTGTTACCACAGATTCCAAGAAGCAAATCTTTTATGATGCAAAGTGCTCGGCAACCGCGTTGCAGTACATCACGTTATGTGTTGTAGCCATATACAGTAAAACCTGTCTACATTAAACATGTTGGGACTGTGGGACAGTGTTTAATTTAGAGAGGGTTTTAAATTAGGGAGGGTAGCATAATTATCAAAAATTCCCTAACCCAGGCTGGGTATATTTAGACAACACCATTCCCAAAGAGCCCTACACGTATTTTTTCTAAAACATCGAAACAGTTGAACTGTAACAAATACATTGCCCAGCAATGGGTTCACGTGGAGCTAAACACACAACCATGACAGACAAGATACGTATTGCACTGTGTCAACACAAGGAGAAGAATCCGAAGCTGACACACAAGGAGCTTATCAAGTGGTTAGAAAAGAACCATCAGATTAATGTCAGTGGAGGTACAATCACCAACACACTCAAGCGTTCTGTTGAGCTCGGTAAATTTTAAGATGCGAACCTGGACGCCAAGCGCCAGAGGACAGTCAGGTATCCGAACATGGAATC